TGTAACATTATTTGGTAAGTCTTAACAAGTTCCCTCGGCTTACATCAACTGTAACTTTTCTCCTGAAAATTTCCCTTTTTTTCTGTTTACGTCATACAGTGCACGAATATTAAATATTTAAAGTCGAGCTGGCAAAGTTCCCCCAACTTTCTGTCGAATCTATTTTGAGTAAGCACTACACTGACAAGGTACACGTCATATTACAATATAAACCCCATAGATTCTTTACAGAGTGCTCTCGTGCTAAGAAAATTCCAAAGTCCTATGTTTAGTTCTCGTTTAAACGTGGCGATTCTTCAGATGGTTATTGGAGCTCAATTTAGGAGATGACGGTCGGTAGTTTCATGTGTTTCTCATTGCATCTTGCATATATACACGTGTCATTATGAAAATATAGACAATGCAAAGGGTTTATTATGATTTTGAAATATATAATAGTTTCAAGCAATTTAGTTATAATACATAGTTTCAGCCAATTTTATATACTTGGACAGAATGTGTTATTAGCAGCTCTATATTGAGTAACATAGAATTCTGAGTGAACAGCTGGATGAGGGAAAACTGATGCAATCCATGGATTGATTGTTTTGGGGACTTTTTTTGGGAACTACGTCACCAAATAGGGCCCCAGAAAACGCATCATGGTGTTGGTAGTCGTTCTAAAAATATGCGAATAAAAGATCTGGTAGTGGTTATAAATTAGAACCAATTGAAACCTTGTGTTATAACTCAAAACTGTTACTTTTAAGTGTCTCACTATTCAGATTGGGAACCGTGCAGTTTCTTTGCTGGGAAACAATTCAAAGTTCAAACAGTAAGACTTAGCAGACAGCTCATAAAATGTCCATGAAGTTTTCTGGCGTGTACACATTACACAGTCGGATAAACTTCCTCTTTAAATACAACATGTTTATAAGGGGTGACAGAGGGCCTTGAAGCTTCACCACAAGAAAGCAAGGAAACAATTCTACACCACAGCTCACGAAGTTGAAACTCAAGCAGTCAGAGAAGCACACAACTCAAGCAGTCAGAGAAGCACAGAAAGTTACAAAACAGTAAACTGTGCTAAGAAGTGACAAGGCAGCAAATCTCACGTTATTATACAAACGGACTCATCCCACTAATTCTAGACTTTAACATTTACCACAGGCCAATCACACTCCAGTGTTTACACTACACCCTCCAATCAAATCGCCTGATCCAACCCCACGTGACCCACAATAACCGATCTCTAATTCTGGGGGCCCTATAATCTCTGATCGTGGCTCTAACCCGGAGTTTAATGATTTAGAGTAATTCTCTGTAGAAGTGACTGTGTGGAGCAAGCTGTTGTTGCAGGGTCCTGTGCTATGAAATGCAACGATTTTTAGAGCTGGCTACGTTTAGTAATTCTTGAGACTGAAAGTTACAGCGACACTCTAGTTCGCTTTGAGACTGTTTGCTCTTAATTTCTGCGCGTTTTGCCCTTTCGGCTAGGCTGTCCCTCTCCACATTTTACCAATATCCAATGCAATAGTTAATAGTTATACGATATCTTTGCTAATCTTCGATGATAATTCAAACACTTTACAGTTTACATCCAACTTGGACTCTTGCAAGAGTACTGGAGCTAGTGTTTACTCTAACAACCGTAGTAATTATCACGTTTTAATTTTCTAATCACGTTGAAAAAGTTAACTTAAATGAGCGTGTCCAGCACGAGAATTCAACAAGATCACCACTACAAAGGTAACCACAACTATTACTCCAGTACCAGCCGTCTACAGGCCACGTGACAAGCGCTGTACGCGATTCTGCAAATCTACACCGAGATAACTTACAACCTAAGTCACACGTGATGAGTGATAACAGTCACCTGATACCCATATATGGTCGTGTTAAGCCACGTGACTGTCATAGCATACCCAATATGGTAATACGGACATTAAGACAGTCACGTGCTTTGTGGTGTCTAGAAAGTGAAAGTTCTCAACATTATAAACTGCTACTTTCCAAAATAGTGCCCCGACCACCACGGAACATTTCTAGTGGTTGTAACTGGTATTAGATTAACTGATCTGATAAGATGATTTTCGCCGCAGCGTGGCCATAACCGGACCAATTCCAGTAAAAGTCTGACCAAGTTCACTGGCTTAAGTCTCTCACTAGAAGTACTCTGCTGAATGCAGAGAATTATATTTACCCCGAGAATATTAATTGTTTAATAGGCTCAGCGACTGTTCATATGTCCGCTTACAATAACACCTTTCTGACTTGCAAGATAGATCACGACAACTCCCATATGTAGGAGTAACAGGTCTTTGTCAGCCAAACTCTCTGTCAAGCAGCCAATCTATAGATGGTGCTTTAAAAGAAATCCGGATAAAAAACCACATTTGCGGCCGAGCCTTGTTCGAGTGTCCGTTATCCACGTGCGGAACTCGCTTCTCTAGGAGTGGTCTGAATGTGTGCGACACCGACAGTGTAAAAGCTGAACATGGCAGCTGGTCTGATTGTTTTAATCGTGATTTGTGGACACAGAATTGTCACAATCAAGTAAAACAGATATTACTTTGGCTAGAAGATGCTTGGATCTGGACAAATGTAAGCGTGCAAGAAACCACAAGGAGTATGCACTGTTTTCATCAGGGTCCCGCTGCTTGGATATGCTTTCAATTTTCATGCTTGAAAATGATGATAATAGTGCAAAATGTTTCTTTCGATCGAAGTTTTAAAATCAGCAGCGAGACTCCAGTAATCCTAGAATGATTCTACTGGAAACTTTGTTCCCCTGCCGAAAACCCTAGATCAAAAGAAAGAATTTACCTAAGCCAGGTTCCATCCAATTAACGAAAACATAACCACGTTATCGTTTTAACAACCTCACGGCTGAAGTCTTTTGTAACCACTATATCATTGTGGTAAGAAAGCTGCCCTGTACCAGGCACTGGACATTCCGCAGTCTCAGAACCCAGATACCAGTTCATATTACGTCAACAATTTGACATTTTCTCTTTATCCAGGTGAGAAATTGTTAGGTCTCGTTAAATAACCACGTGGTGGGGCCTTTTCGGTTCTTTTGTTTTGGATAGAGGCCGGTAGATATCAACCAATAGGATGAGTTTACGTAGTCAGGTGAGAGTAACCACCCAATCAGTGAGCAGAGATTCGATGACGTCACACGAGCGATTGACATTGATTGAATTACGCAATTGAGTGTATATACTTAACAGACAGGACCAGTGCTAACTGAACAAATCAAAATATTTACCACCTTAATCACCTGCCAGTATACAAAGTTCACCTCTCCCCCCTAATTTAATTTGATACAGTTTAAAATGGGATTGAAAGGCCGATGCGGGTCGATCGGAAAGGGAACCAAATTGTAGCCTAATCACGCCAGACTGGTCAACAACTGTCAATCAGAGGCCCCGAATCTGGTCACGTGGTTCTCACATCCAATGGGAAACCAGAAAAAACAAAACCCAGACATTCAAAGTCAATTGACTATTGTCTCGATCGCACTTCAACAGTTGTATGTAACCCAGGAATAACCCAGTAATCGGCGAATTTAGATTAAATCGCACGAGTAACTCTATCAATTGCTGTCCCCGCCACTACTACACTACTACAGTACACTGTGAAGAATGTGAACTCCGATTATTATTACGGGCCACAAATCCCCCCTGGAATGAGGAAGTATGTACCTTTTCCTCTGGGCCACCAGTGATCCCACTGTAACGAAATATTCTTGCGGGCAGGGGAAACTTCAACTTGCCCAGCTCAGGATGACCTTGCCGACCAATAGAGCCCACCGTGTTTTGCAAGTAATGTGTTGTGACAAGCACACACATTACAGCTGGGTAGATGTAATATTGGTCGCTAAATTAGAGGTATCGCTAATCTGATGTTGCCCCACCGATATAATATCAGATCGGCTAATGCTCGGTCCAGGAGAAGGAGGAGGAGGAGGAGGAGGATGACAGCAACAGTAAACTTATCACTACCACTAGGAGCACCGTATTTAAAGCTAGGAGCACTATAGTTGAAGTGTGAGCAGGTACCCTATTCCACATTACCAGCTCTACACGAACAAGTCTGACTCCCTCTATCACTGAACTCTCCCAGACCGCCAGCATGACCGGCAGAAACTCAGGCTGGCAGTGCAGTCGGCAAAAGCAAGTCTAACCCCGAGCAGGTGACGGTTGTCTTACCCGGAGAGTTGAGGAGAGTTGCAGGGCACGTGACACCACCCCTCTCCTCCTCTCCTCCTCTCCTCCTCTTCACTATCTCGACACTGAAAGCTGGGGCGAAAGGAGTGCTTTGGGGAACACCGACTCTGCGATTCAAGCGTTATTGTGACACGTGAATTGGGGCCCCTACAAAGAGGAGCAACCCTCATGTCGCTCTTTGTAGTCTGCACCGACAAGTATGATATACCCGCTTCACGCTACCCTCCCTCCTGCCTACCCCCACTCTTTAAAACTTGGGCTCCTGCCAATAACAACAACATAAACGTGTCACGTGGGCACATATCCGCCAATCAGGTGCGGGGTTTTGTCAGCAAAAGTTCCGTTTTACACTCTACTGAGTTAAAAAGGGTCCCGATTTGGGTGATAGTGATCCGTAGGGAAGAAGATTCGTTGGGAGAATTAGCGTCGTTTTCAAAGTATCACTTATTATTGATTAGATATGTTTGCAAATTGCAAAACGTGACAATAGCTAATTCTATTGTAAACGAATTAAAGTGCTATACGTTTAACAAATAGACTCCGAAAGAAGGGGGGAAACTGCCGGGAAGCCCGGAGTTTCGATACCCAGAGAAATCGGCATTTGTAGCGGCAATACAATAAGAAAAGACGGCCCACGAAGAGCGACAATATATCCAAATTACAGATTTACAGACGTTACCAATGTGAGTTCAGACAATGCCCGCGAGACCCTGGACAAGGGAGCTGCCCGCCTGGACCAGACAAAACCGGTCAAAGACTGTGTTTAGCAAATAGTTGCTCAGTACTTACCACATAAAAGTGAGTTCTGCAGGTATTCAGGACATCTTCACCAAGTCTTCTGTCGGGCCAACACTTGTACCTAAAACAGAAATCGTTTAGGACAAGGCAGACCGATATTATCGGCTGGTTGTAAATGTAAATATGACCGGATATACCAAAATAATATTCCTCAATCCGGCGGATGCCACAAAAGCGTAAAGGGGCTTGACCGACTCTATTCTTGGGGTGATATCAGAAATTTTCATTAGAAAACGACCAGAAAAAGATTCCCATAATTCGCACACATTATTTTTCCTGTGCCTTCATACTCGAGTTTTAGTACCTTAATGAAGAAGCCATGATTACCTAAACAATACCTCCAATTTGTCATGAGGGTTAGACAATACGATTGATTGCAGTTGAGCGGGGATCGTCTCCCCTCTCTCTCTCTCACTCCAGCTCGGTACAAAGTTACAGTTTTACACTTTAGAGCACTCTGCGTGTCTGTACCCCAGCAATTGTAGGGCGTCTAAACAACTCACTGCCGGGTCACGGCGGAGATATTACCAGTACGCCGTGCTATGTTTAGATAATGGGTGGAGATATTACCAGTACGCCGTGCTATGTTTAGATTAATGGGTGGAGATATTACCAGTACGCCGTGCTATGTTTAGATATGGGTGAGATATTACCAGTACGCCGTGCTATGTTTAGATAATGGGTGGAGATATTACCAGTACGCCGTGCTATGTTTAGATAATGGGTGGAGATATTACCAGTACGCCGTGCTATGTTTAGATAATGGGTGGAGATATTACCAGTACGCCGTGCTATGTTTAGATAATGGGTGGAGATATTACCAGTACGCCGTGCTATGTTTAGATAATGGGTGGAGATATTACCAGTACGCCGTGCTATGTTTAGATAATGGGTGGAGATATTACCAGTACGCCGTGCTATGTTTAGATAATGGGTGGAGATATTACCAGTACGCCGTGCTATGTTTAGATAATGGGTGGAGATATTACCAGTACGCCGTGCTATGTTTAGATAATGGGTGGAGATATTACCAGTACGCCGTGCTATGTTTAGATAATGGGTGGAGATATTACCAGTACGCCGTGCTATGTTTAGATAATGGGTGGAGATATTACCAGTACGCCGTGCTATGTTTAGATAATGGGTGGAGATATTACCAGTACGCCGTGCTATGTTTAGATAATGGGTGGAGATATTACCAGTACGCCGTGCTATGTTTAGATAATGGGTGGAGATATTACCAGTACGCCGTGCTATGTTTAGATAATGGGCGGAGATATTACCAGTACGCCGTGCTATGTTTAGATAATGGGCGGAGATATTACCAGTACGCCGTGCTATGTTTAGATAATGGGTGGAGATATTACCAGTACGCCGTGCTATGTTTAGATAATGGGTGGAGATATTACCAGTACGCCGTGCTATGTTTAGATAATGGGTGGAGATATTACCAGTACGCCGTGCTATGTTTAGATAATGGGTGGAGATATTACCAGTACGCCGTGCTATGTTTAGATAATGGGTGGAGATATTACCAGTACGCCGTGCTATGTTTAGATAATGGGCGGAGATATTACCAGTACGCCGTGCTATGTTTAGATAATGGGCGGAGATGTTACCAGTACGCCGTGCTATGTTTAGATAATGGGCGGAGATGTTACCAGTACGCCGTGCTATGTTTAGATAATGGGCGGAGATATTACCAGTACGCCGTGCTATGTTTAGATAATGGGTGGAGATATTACCAGTACGCCGTGCTATGTTTAGATAATGGGTGGAGATATTACCAGTACGCCGTGCTATGTTTAGATAATGGGTGGAGATATTACCAGTACGCCGTGCTATGTTTAGATAATGGGCGGAGATATTACCAGTACGCCGTGCTATGTTTAGATAATGGGTGGAGATATTACCAGTACGCCGTGCTATGTTTAGATAATGGGTGGAGATATTACCAGTACGCCGTGCTATGTTTAGATAATGGGTGGAGATATTACCAGTACGCCGTGCTATGTTTAGATAATGGGTGGAGATATTACCAGTACGCCGTGCTATGTTTAGATAATGGGTGGAGATATTACCAGTACGCCGTGCTATGTTTAGATAATGGGTGGAGATATTACCAGTACGCCGTGCTATGTTTAGATAATGGGTGGAGATATTACCAGTACGCCGTGCTATGTTTAGATAATGGGTGGAGATATTACCAGTACGCCGTGCTATGTTTAGATAATGGGTGGAGATATTACCAGTACGCCGTGCTATGTTTAGATAATGGGCGGAGATATTACCAGTACGCCGTGCTATGTTTAGATAATGGGTGGAGATATTACCAGTACGCCGTGCTATGTTTAGATAATGGGTGGAGTTCAATGTGACCAGTACGCCGTGCTATGTTTAGATAATGGGTGGAGTTCAATGTGACAAAAGAGGGGGCAAGTTGCAGGATAGAGGAGGGAATATTGGATGGAAAGATGGGGTCTGTCTGGTTATTTAGAGGGGTGGTATTTGGGTACGGACACAACCATTCGACCTAGGTACTTTTTGGGAAACCCTGTTGGGTTATACCTGTAATCAAGAACATAATGTTTCAATAATATATTCGATAGAAGATTTCCAATGTTACAGTTAAGGGAGGGGTTAGAAAAATGACAAGTCAGATTTTCAGTCCGGTACTAAAGAACGGATCAGTGTGATGTGACTGATTTAGTGTGATGTGACTGGGTTAGATAAGTGTGATTTGACTGATTCCTGACCCGAAAAAAGAGTCTGGTGTACCTTTAAATGTATAGAGCGAGGATACATAATATTATAATATTACACGGTATTTGGTTATCTTCAGTATGGTGATAGTTTATTAACATATTTTATTCATATATTTTATTAGTACAATCAGTTAATTATTATAACTGATAAGCTCTTAACAGGGCCCTCTGTTTCCTTCTGCTAACCCTCCATCAACATGCCAATAGACAGAGGACCTAAAAAGAGCTGAGCGCGCAAGGGGACATAAAGCTCAACCAAAAGTCACATTTGACAGTTACCATGGTTATTCAGACCACAGTAAAGTGGTAAAATAACAAATCAATTTGTCATGTTTACCGATTTACTAGTACAGAATCATTCAGTTTTGTTATTCACACAATTTCTTTAAAAACGAACTTTTGGATTAAAATCTATGTACAGACATCCAAAAACTTTCCGAAAAAGTAACGATTGGCCGGCATTAGTAAAATTGCCCTATCTAATTGGTCAAATAATTACGAAGAAAGACTAAAGATGGTTCTAGAATATCTTTCCACAACTGTCAGTAGGATTTTGGCAGCTGTTGACTGAGACATTAACAACCACATTTCAAGTTGAACTCTGACTCAGACACAAGAATTCCAGGAATTCATCCCAACAACACGTTGTGGACGCAGACAAATAGGAGATTACATGTGTTATGGTTAAGACATGATAGAGCGTCTTCTGTGAGCTGGAGGAAGGAATTAGTGGGGTTTTATAACTTGGCTGGTATGGTGGGCGGGGATGGGTTAGGAGTAATTTACATTGTCAGTGACAAGCTGTGTTTATTGTAGTGGAGAGTTATGAAGACAGCTCAATTGATGGCTTTCCAGATATGCATGGTGTGAGAATTATGTGGATATTTTTATTGGTATTATTACTTGAAACCAGGGGTAACCATTTCATTTCCCCTCCTATGTAGTGTAAATGTCTTGCAGTTATGATATTAAAAAGCAAGTACAAAGCTCGGTAAAGGAGTGCAAGGAAGATTAGGTGCAGGTTTCTGACCACTATTTCGATTATTAGGTATAACATGTTTTTCATGTGTAAAAGAGAAATTATTTTCTTGAAATTCAACTTATATTGACTGAACCAATTTCAATGCAAAACGGCAACTCGGAAACATCATTTCTGATTTGGAATCGGATTGACATAATAATTTGGATATTATAAAACTAGATTTTTTCAGTCTTGCTATGATTTGCAGTGAGAACAGTGAAACTGTGAAACTCGAATAAATATTGGCATTTTTTAAGCATACAAAATTCCCAGAAAGACTATGTGATGATCTCCCCTTCCATTTGGAATAAACATGAGAATGTAAAAAAATCGGATTAAATATAGGAGTGGACCCTCAAAAGTTGGGCTTTCCTTTGTCGGTTTATTTGAGATGAATCCGTTTACATGGGAGGAAAACCGTGCATAATTTAGCAACCATAGGGCTCATGAATGCTAATTTCGTAAGCAGCAGAATGTTGTAACCACCCTTTATTTTAGTGACCTAATCATTAAGTGGTTTTAGAAATCTTACAATGGTTTTAGAAATTTTTCAGTGGTTTGATCTTATACGCCTTCTTCCCCAGCGTAATAAATAAAGGACTTCCAGGTTTGGTAATATGTTTTTGTGGTTCTTCTTCTACCAATATGGTCGCCGGTTTCTAGCCTAATAATCAGCTGAAGGACTTCTCTCCCGATAACTCCTGGTGGTAGCTCTGGTTAATCAAGATGGAATGCGTACTTCTAACCCTCATTTACATGTTTAATTATTAGGAAAAAGTTAGTAAGATTAGTATCTCTCTCTGCAAAAATACTGTTGCAAGCTCAGCTATTTTTTTTTACTGCTCTTCGAACTATATAAACGGACACTAACCCTCTCTTCCATCATGGTTTTCACCTAGAGTTTTTCTAAATCCCGTCAAGGACCATAAGTTTTCTGTAAATCTGGGATAGCTGGTCACTGGAGTTACAAGACGATGAGTGCGGGCGTGAAAATGTTGGCCATGTTAACCAAGTTTGAGGGCTTCACTTTTAACTACATACTCTATGCTGCTTTGAAGATAAAGGCGTGAAAATTAGCTGCTAAGTAGAGCTGTTGTTTTCAATTGATGCACGGTACCGATTCAGTGCGTTCAATGAGTTGAGCAGTCTTTGACACGCTAATTTAACGCTTGTCAAGGCGGTCCTCACAAAGCTAAACTATCTGTTTGCATAAGCTGTATGAGCGCCGCTTCGAGCAGCTAAAAATGATACTTTTCAATTAACTCTGTCATTAAA